TGCGTGGTGAGCTCTGACTCACCATCTCTTCTCCTCCAAGAAAAGCCAAAGCAAAGCAGGAAGACCAGCACTATAGAGATGCACATCATAGCCACGGCTGCTTTGGCCGATTTATTCAGCACTGGGGCCTCATCTAAGAGGAAGCAGAGAGAGATATTTATCAGATGATTCAAAGAAGGACCGGCAGTAAGAAAATAATCCAAGCAATCCTTTTCTTAGGCAGCCAGAGTTGTTTCTCTGGTACCTTTTTTTAGTCAAAGCATTGTGTTACTTCATTATGATCTTGTGAATTGCACAATCAAAAACTGGGTCATACTCTGAGGATCCAGCTTGTCCAGGTATGCTGAGCTACTGACGGGATTCACTAAACCAGGCTGGTTCATGGCACACTCCACCTTGCCACGCTGTGCCCTCTGCTCGGGGCTTAAAGTATAGTAGCGTCTGGTTCTGTAACTCCCATCTGGTTTCTGCTCAGTGACAGGCAGGTCAGGGAGGGTTGTGCCATTTTGATACCAGGACACAGACACTTCCTCTGGGTAGAAACTCTCCACGTCACAGTAAAGAGTAAGAGGAGAGTTTTTGGAGGTTGTCGGCAGGACAGAAAGCCTAAGAGTGGAAGGACCTGAAGAAGGGCAAAGAAAGTATTTTTAAAAAAGCTTGTGGCTTTGTCACAGGCTTCATCAGATTAAAGGATTTAAAGAACAGAAGTGACGTTATGGAGTGATAGAGGATGTAATATTAGAAGTACTGTGAGAAATACTGACAGGCCATGAGGCAGTAAGGCCACTAATATGGAAACAGTGACTCTCAGTGACTCACGGGTGATACTGAGCTGAAAATCCAGCTCTTGATAGTTTCCACTGTGTGAGACTTTGCAACCAAAGGTCACATTCTGGTCCTCATGGGAAGGATAGAAGGTCAGGTTGCCCACAGCCCTGTAGTACCCATCTGGGGTCAGTTCAACCTCAACCTGGTAGGGAGGTTGAATCACTTCTCCCGCTCTGGTCCAGGAAAAAGAGACAGGAGGAGGGTAGAAACCATCTGCATGGCATTTAAGCTGGGTCTTAGTTTCCAGCACCACCCACTGATGAGGAACTGAGAGAGTGGGAGATGCTGAAGGGGGTGGGGGGAGAAGAAGAAATGGAGTTGAGCTTAATTTTTAGATTCAGATGTGATCATAGGTGAGAAAAAGGAATCAAAACCACGAGAACAGAAACAAGACGTACCGACGATACTAAATGTAACGTTACTGTTGTGCAGAATAGTAAAGTTGTAGCTGATGGTGCATTCATACATCCCCTGCAGGTCAAGACTGGCTTTGAGGACGACCAGCGAGAAGTCCCCATTGACGAAGTCAGCGTTGTCCCAGCTGAAGCCTTCCTTTATTTGCGTTGCTGCTTTTCCAAACGAGGCAATTTCAGAGCCATTTTTTATCCAGCTGACTGCGATCAGAGACTGGTTTATGTTGTCCCCCTCAGCAGAGAGCGTCACGTTGCAGGGGAGGGTTGCGTTTGTATTTGGACTGGCCTGAATTTCACTCGAAGACACTGAAAGTAGAAAGAGATGGACGGAAAAAAACGAATAGAACTCATTAAGGCTCCTTACTTCAACACATGAGGGCTCGTAAGATGCAATGTGCCCTTTTTGTGTGGTTGGGTCTGCATTTCAGGAACCCCCCCACCACCACCACCAAAAAAAACTATGTTATGATCAAAAGTTGTTACATATTCAATAAAGGTTTCCAGTGCACTTGGTAAGAAGTGCCGTGACTTCTTGAGTTATTGGGTTGTTTTTTTGTTTAACTCTTGTCGTGTAACATTTGTGAAACAACTTCTTCTTTAGAAAGAAGAAATATCACAATCTTCCTCTTACAACTGGAAACGTTGCCACGAAACTGACTGACGAACCGGTTACATGACCTTATGGCATTTTCCTGTTTTTGCTGATGCAAAACAGAACCATTTGAGTTCTTTTAAAAGCAAAAATAACCCAGGGCACAAACATGTGGAAGATACAAAATTGTCTTTCTAATGTGTTTGACTTAATTATGTAATAAATGTCATTAGAAAGCTGTGAGAACAAAGTAAAACCATAAAGCAAATAGCTGTCTAAGGCTGGACAAATAACACTTGTCCAGTTTGTTGACTTAAATTGAATGAACAGTGAATACATTCTTTCTTTTCATCCCTGAGAGTAAATCAGTAATCTGACTACACTTTATTGATTCAGTGCAAATACAAGGCCTTTAAGACAGGTCCGGCCATCCAATCAGCTTAATTAGTAACTAGTACAATAAACACTTCTTGGCAGGTGTAACACAAAGCGGTGGAAAAATTTCCATCAGCATGAAGCGCTTATTTACGCTTCTCGCTAAATGACGGGTCGATCAAAGCAGATTAACAAGAAACCTAAGAATGGAGGTCAAACTGTACTGTTGACGCTTTTGACAGCCTATTTTTGAAAAGCACATCGAATCAGTTAATAGCAAACTTCGTGCTGATGCACCAAAGAGGAAGAGGTTATTTTTCATTTATACTCACTGATGTCACTTCAAGTTCCACATGGTGGAGAGAGACTTATACTGCATTACCAGGTTTATATTACATATTTTCTAGAAGTTAAGCTGTGATGCATTGTGTCTGATGGGCTGTTAATACTGTGCCACTTCCACTTAATAAGCGGCTGAACTTCACCAGACATTATAAACCCAACAGCCAAATTAGGCAGGACTGGCCACACTGGCCTATAAAGAAAACAACAAAAGCTACATGAATATTAAAAATCACTCATGTCTCACTTCACATACTGTCATATCGCTCCGTTACATACACTGTAACTTAATCCAGGAATCAACACAACATAAAGGTCAGGTGGATGCTCACAATGTCTAACACTTCTTTCTGTCTTTAATGTGCACCATCCATACTAAAAGATTCACATATAGCCCACCTGAGGTAGCCCACCTCATACCTTGTCATCAGCCAGAGTAAGATCAGTGCCGCCTCTGTAAACATCCATAATACTCACCATGCTTTATCAGAGTCAGGAGGACAACATAGGCGAGGACTTTACACTGCATGGCTGGGCTTGTCTTGAGACCGACTTCTTATCATCAGGTCCTTTTCCCTGTCTTATATAGAGCTACGAGGTGACAGTGGGCGGGATTGTCCTGCAAGTTGGTGAAATAAGAAATATCGTTCCTGGACCTCGGGAGTGAAAGGAGGCCCTTGATATGTGTACGTTCCTCCAGAAACAAGCAAGGCCTGAAGAGCAACAGGGTGGAAACGGGAGAGAGGAAAAAAGGAGGGAGATGTGCAGGGACGCACAAGTGGGGAAACTGGTCACTTAAAATTCAGACGGGCCTCAGGCCAAGGTTTCGGGGCTACTTTACATTGGTGCAGTGTTGTCACGAACAAACAGAGTGACTAATCCCACTGAGTTTATGTGGGCAAACACTCAGGCGAGACTACAACTCTTTTCTGTCTGTGGGAGGGTTAGGGTGCCGATGCATTTTGCGGAGAAAAGGAGGTTCTTTTATGCCCCTCTGTACAAGCCCCCCTGTCTCTTCAGTCAGCTCCTCTGATAATATTTAACCAGAACAAGCGCTTGATGTCTGAAGAGAAGAAAAGGTGTTATCTGGTCAATCCCCCCTCTTAACAGTCATTAACTTGATTAGGAGTTTAAATTGTTTGACTTTGCACTTTAATTGGTCTTAACACGCACATCAGTCAAGGGTTAATTTCTGATCCAGAGGGGATCTGCGTCACTGAGCTGAAGTAGTCAGTCAGTATTTTTCTGCTGTACTTTGAATGAGGAGGAAACAAAAGCAAGAACTGAAAGTGTGATTAATGTGTCCCAAATCCTTGTTTGTCTTGAACCTGTGCTCACATCCAACTCTTTGTGACTGAACTTTGTGTTTTCTCTTCTTGACACGCTCGCTGCTTTCATCAGGCTGGAAGATTGAGTGAAGAGGAGGGGCATGTGAATCTGGGCCAGCTGATCGAAGGAATGAAGTTATTTAACTATTGTGAACATTTTGCTTTTGTCTCATTGATGCTCTTATTCAATATGTGACCATGACGTCAGCAAAAACCTTTGAAGCTGAAGTATGAGGAAAATAAGTTTATGATTTGAATACAAGGTAAATAAAAAAATGTCAGCTTTATAAAGACTTTTATGGTTTGTGTGTGATTATTAAAACAACACACATTCCCAGCTTGTCAGAACTTCTATAATTAAGAATCATTATCAAGACATACTCAATGATACAATGATTTGTTTGTTTCTGGGTATCTCAGCAACCATTTCTTCTGTTTCAAGAAAACAGCCTGAAGCTTCAAATATACCCTCTGCAGTGGTCGCTTCGCTCAGAGCCTCGCTGTCGCCACACAGATGCTGTCATCCAAGGTGTAAGAAGCCGCTGCAGTATTGTCCTAAACGATAGGGGTCGCCATTTAGTCAATAGTGGAGAAAACGTGCTAATAGGGAACATAAGAAGTTAAAACCAGAAGCCAAGACTTTGTTAAGTGTCATGTGTTGTTTTGCAAATTTCTTTCCACAAACTCAAGCTCCTAAACAGATGCAACATCTCACTCTGTGTGTTTGTACATCTCTGAGCTTCTGTGCAGGATTATTCTTAAAATGGTGGTAAAAACTGGCATGATCTGGACTTAAAAAGGCAATATTTGCCTGTCAGTTTGTTGTAGATCAATAATATCCTAGATTAATAAAGTTATTCAGTTATTCAGAAACCTGTTTAGGAAAGACTACTGAGTGTTTTAGACCTGAAACTGGTGTTGCGACTTCAATTGTGGGCGGTCTCAGGGTGAAAGTGCAGCAGTGTAAAGAAACAGGTGTGCTGCATTTTTTAACCCAGGACAAAATTAGAGCACTGCTTCCAAATGCACACAGCAAGTATTTTTTTCCATTAGATCTATTCTCTTCCTGTCAATTTGAAGGAGGAATGCATAGGAGGAAATGAAGGTACTGAACGTGCCAATAACAGTCATTACATGCTGTGTCTGCAATGTGTGTGGTTACATTTCTAGCAAACAGTACGATAGATTATGGCGTAAGCTAAGGCGTAGGGTTTCAGATAGGTTTGTGGATAGGTTGGCAAAATTTACATTACGTAGACCAAAACAGGCCATTGTGGACTTGTGGACATATGAAAACTATAACCAGTTAACCTCAGCGGTATGTACAGCAAGTCTTAACTACAGACACCGACCCCTTGTTTATGTCTTCCTTTTATTTGCTCTGCAAATTATAGTCTTTGTCTTCCTGCTCTCACTCAGGCTTATGCAGACATGACTGCTGTGTATAAGTAACCCACAAGAACTTAGATGTAACAATTTCTTGATTGAAAGTTGTACATTTGTTTTGTGGATAAAGCTCATAAGGTAATTACATTTTATATTTGTGGTTGTGTGGGTGCAGAAAAGTCCTCAGCAAGAAAATACTATATGTGACTCTAGTTCTTTTTGCACATCACCTAATCAAGTTCACCGCTACTAGCAAGACTGAAGTCTGTTGTGCCCATCTTGTGGCACGTACCCTGTGCAGCATGAAGATAAAATATGAGTACACAGGATGGTGAGTAACCACCCGCAACATGGGAATCACTCTGCTTCATTTTCATGACAGGTTTTATACATTCATTTTTAAAAGTGATGTGGTTTTAATAGTCAGCCCAGTCTTATTCCATACCCACATCAATACCATGCACCATTACATTATTAAGCCTCTCAAGGCAGGTGTTGCCAATTTGCAACAGTTAAAAACTAACAACCTGAGTACCCCACATACATATTTTATGAGTTTTTTTTTACTCAGAAGTACCACTGCAGGACTTGGTTGTGCATTAGCAACAAAAAACTTAATTTGAACCTGAGAGGGTTAAGTAGCTTAGTGGAAGTCCAACTGGATTGTTTGTTCACCGTCTTGCCTTGCATATAAAACTGTATACATTTTGTTTTTATTAACATAGGTAACATCCGACATCCTGAACAATAATATAAACCTGCCCAGGTTAGGGCAGACGAACCAAGTGACGGCTGGACATCAGCTGTCCCCACCCGAGGAACTGGTATGGGTGCAGGAAATGGCTGGACCATAGCTGCCTTGGGAACAGGAACAGGTGGACAGGTATGCTCGGGGATAATCACAGGAAGACGAACAGTCTTCACAGCCACAGGTTGGGAGGCATGAACAGTCTTGTTGACGACTGGTCGAACATTACAAAACATTTCTATAGATGAAGGCGGGACAGCACAAACAGTTTCCGGGAAAGCTGGCTCAAAAACACGGAGAACAGATTCAAACCGACACAACTGTGGAACACAAAACTCAACCTCATCTGAAGCACTCAGATCAAATAGCCAGCTTAAAAATAGAGGATGCCTTCTAAAATGTCCTTAACATTTCAAACAGTATCAATTATTAATTATGGCAAAAGCGATTGAAACCAAGTGAAAGCATGTGGGCTGGGAAGCCATTTCAGCATTTTATTATCATGTTATGGTCATGTCGTTCTGTCATGTGATTAGAACTTACTGATTACTGAGCAGACAGGGCACACATACAAGGTGGGAATGACAATGGTGTGACAAAGAACAGAGGGAAACTGAGGACTTAAATAGACATGATTAAGAGACACAGCTGGGGGAAAAGAAGGCACAGGTGAACAGAATCAATTAATGAGCAAGAAAGAAGCAAAACTGAAAAACAACCCACACAGGAGAAGAGACTATCAAACTATAACAGGTAACACTGAGACTGAGGCTAACACACGTGAACCTGACAGGCCAAAGTAAACACAAAGACAAAACATGGAAGAAACACAGAAACACAGACTTGGCATCGGCAACGTAGGAGGGCTGGAAAAAGAATAACAAAGAATATGATGAATGCAAAATCAGAATAAAAACCCAAGCAAAGCAAAGGTAAAGTTTAAACTGAAAACTATAACAAAGTGAAATGGAAACTATCAAACAGAAAACAGAGTCCCCAAATATAAAACGCTGGGTACAAAACCCAAGGATCGTGACACTTAAGTTATGCTGGAATGTTGAGAAACCGGTTAAAATAGGGAGTGAAAGAAAAATATCCCAATGACACCTCTGCCTATTGTAAATACATCTTTACTGTGAACGCACAGGATGGCAGCCCGGATCCTCTTGGTGTGTGCGCTCATCACTCTGCAAGGCGAGCCCTAATCTTTAACAGCTTTTTTGGTTTTGTTAGAGCTATTTTGTATAATGTTTGAGAATCTGGGTAATGATGGTTTTGTATTGAAGTGTATTGTGTAAAAAATGTAAGAGAAAGTAAAGCAAAACAAACCCTCTGCTGTCAGTATGAACTTTATGAAAACAGGAATTACAGCAATACTGTTTCATTAAACAGTCTTACTGTTGGTTATCAGCGATGCTTAAACTATTTTTGTTAACCTTTTGCTTAGTAACTTAGTAACGACAAGTCTTCAGTGTGTCAGAACAAACCACAATGTAACATCACAATGCAGAAAGTTTTTCATGTATTCAACAGAAATACAGTGCGGCCTGCATCAAGTCAAATTTGTTGACTTGAAATAATGCGAGTAAAATGTGATCTAAGAAATCACAGTACTATTTGCCACTTAGCTGTATTTACAGTTACGGAAAAGTTAAGGAAAGTAAGGTAAAGTAAGGAAAAAAAGCTGTAACTCTAGTGTCCCCATGTGGCTGTTGTTACACACTTATGGCAACATTCACAAAGGTTATAATTTCTCGTAACTTCTTCTCTTATTCTTACAGGCTCAAAGGCTCAGGGTGAGCACATCACATTTCATATATACCATACAACTGTGTAAATACTCTGAACGTTCATATTCCAGTGTGACTAGAATCAAGCATGAGAAATTCTATTGCATATCAGCTGACACCCAGCTGTCTTTGCTCTGTCAGATTGTGGGGTGGCACCTCTCAATACAAGAATAGTCGGTGGTCAGAATGCCCCAGCTGGGTCATGGCCCTGGCAGGTGAGCGTACACTATCAATCATCTCACATCTGTGGAGGCACCCTCATCAGTGACCAGTGGGTGCTCACAGCAGCCCACTGCATTAAAACGTAAGATATACTCTTTGTTTCATTCTGTATTGCACGTTTTTACCGGAAGCCTATGTGGGAACATTGTGTTCAAATTCAGTATTTTAGAGACCAAAAAAGCTGTCAGATTATTTATATTGCCCAGCAGACCTCAAAGAAACCAAACATCAGTGAGAGACTCAAAAAACAAGTGAAGCATGTGAATTAAAAGTTGAGTAAAATATCCTGATAGACGTGTTCACAGAGCAGTTTTAATAAAGTTAGCTGATACAAATCAATATTTGTTGGTGACAGATAACGAGCATAACTAACATACAAGTTCAACCAGTTCACTATTGTGCAGAAGGTGTTTCTTCAGTGAATAATGGTGAATCCAGCTCATCAGAACAAATATTTGTGTTAAAAAACGATTAAAAGAACGGCTATACAAAATCAAATTAACATAATTAAGTCTGGCCTTCAGTGCTATTTGTACTTCTAAATTTTGAAATGAGTTATTTCCTGTATGTTATCTTGAATACAATGTTGCTAAGTGGCACTCGTCTTCTGGTGCTTAAACTGTTGAACAGGCAAGGAAACAATAGTAATGAACTGATGCGAAAAAAAACCCCCAATTTGTGCTTTATATAGGATCTACTTTCTTTCTACAAACTTGCCGCCACAAACCATCACTGCGCAGAAGGAAGTGTGTGTCTAAGTGTGACTAAAGACTTGTTCCTGAGACAGAATGATAAGGTGTCAACACTGATAGCAGTGTTAGCACCTATTACTACCTTTGGTAGATGTAATCAGTAAAAAAGATTTTGTCAAGAAGTGGCTCTTTCCTTTACATCTAATCCTCAAACCTGGTGATGTTTCACTGCTTTGCTTTGACATCTGATTGATAAACAAGAATTTCACGCTTAAGATGTTTTTCTTGTAACTTGAATTTTTGCTTGTTGCACAATAGTCAACCTGTGTGATAACAATTTTGTACCATGACAGGCGTCTGCCAACGGATGAAGAAATATCCTCTTAGCATGTCTTCCTGTTTAATTTCGTGTCATACACAGTACATTTAAAGGTCACACATTCAGACTAGTCACCCTGACTTTAGTGACAATAACATGATAAGTTAAACCTGATGCTGTGAGGGTAAATTGACCTAATTAATCTAGTTCAGTAGCTTGTTGAAGCATGTATATGTACAGAATACTTCATGGCTGACTGCAAGGTGCTGTGCTGTGGTCCTGTGGGTGTTAAAATCGTCACACCTACACCACATGATTGACTGGTGGTATGAAGTGTGTGTGCTGACATGCTGTGTTTGTTTTTACCGTACATGGCAGTGTACACAGTGGACACATTTTCTCCATTTTGATCTTATCAATTCAAAGGAAACTGTTGCAAAGGTTTTGTGGTTTGTTCAAATGAAACTTTGCAAACATGAACAATGTTTCCATGTTTTGTTTTGTTTCTTTCTTAGAAAGAAGACGCTTTCTCCTGGCAGCTCTTTCTTCTTTCTTCAGTCTTTTTTTAATTGTACCGTGATGAGCTCTAACATTTAGCACGCTACCCAGGCCTCTGTACCCTGAGATCTAACCCTTTTTTAAAGTGAACATTTGCTGGGACATCCAATCCTGGATAGATTGTGCCATCGTGTGAACGCACACCTGAATGCTCCAGACCAGCAAACTGCCAGAACATCAGAACTCCTGATGATCAGATAAGCACCTATTGCTCCTGATCCTTGTAATTCCTATCCAGTCAGTGGGATGTGCTAAGTTTTACAGGACTGCGCAGAGTCCTGTAAAAAACGCTCTTTTTTCCTGGATGGACTTTGCTGTTATGTAAATACTGCTGGGTATTATGAGGCAGGAACTTACACGATCTATTTCAGTTCCTTCACGCTGTAAGTTCTGTCACAGTGTTTGCTACAATGCACATACTAAAGTCAAGTGGTAAAGGAAGTGAGTCTTGGTAGATAAGTAGGTCAAATACAAGGCTTTCACTCACTCACACAAGAAGATTCACCCAATACACTGTTTGTAATGACCGAAATAAAGGTCTCCTAATGCCTTATTTATATGCTTCGAGTCTTTCCAGTCTTGGTGATATATGAGCATACTGCAAGATAAAGGCTTTTAATTTTATGTTTTATTGTTTATTCTTACTTATGTAAAAGCATTTTTGGCTTTACTTGAAAGTCAGCGAGAAGCAGGGAAGCAGAAGGATATGCTGAAAAGTTATGCCACAGTGGGGAAGTGAGTCGTGAATGGTATCTGCTTCCATGAGGTAGAAATTATTATACAATAGAGCCAATTTATTTATTTGAAGAACTGAAATTTACAGATTTACTACCATGTCTATGACCGTTTCTTACAGCCAATATTTTGGTTGTTACTCAAAAAAGCAATCTATTAGACATTACTCATTACTTTTTAAAAAAGCTAATGCATTACACTACTTAACTACTCCCTTGAAAAGAAATTGTCACACTACTTGTTACATTCCTTCAGCATCGCTCCATAACATGACCCAATATACATTTTCACATAATAACCAATATATACCTTAGGCTACATTATGCAGATAACTGAGCAACTTGGGTAACACAACTAAACACATAATTATAACTGTAACCCGATTAGTCAGTTCAGTGCACTAATGTGCTACATTAATGTATTACAGAATGTGACCACAGTATGTTTTGCACAGCTGTAATGATGCTGTAATAAGTGGGATGCATTACTTTTTAACCTTTTACTTTGTAACTTTGTTTTGTTGTAACACACTTTGATAACACACTGTCTCATAAATGAAGCGTTTCTTCATTTTAAACTTGCATGATACATCTACAGTCTAAAGAGAGCTCAATGCACTCTACATAGATCTCATACATAGACTTCTATAAATATAAGTCTCATGTTCAAACCAAGACGTGGCCAAGTATAGACAGTAAATAATTTAAATAACAAGTTACTGTCCCTGTGTGGGCTGGTTTTAATTATACAATTGCAAGAACACCAAATTTGAAAGGGATGATGCAAAGATTATGTTGTGTTGTGTTTGGATCTTTCAATTTGGGCCAAATTGGACACTGGCACTCGAGGCCTGGAGTTCGACACTTGTGTTCTAGAGAGAGCCCAGCAGCGAACTCGAAGCCAAATAAGTCAGTGAAAAAATGAACTTTAAAAGCTGACAAAAATGTAAAACCTGGTTAAAATAAGCAAAAGTACAAATCCAAAAGTCCAGGAAGGAATAAAGGAGTACGGGCAACAAGAATATAGAAAAAAATGCAACAACAAAAAGGACGACAGGGCTCTATACTCTATACCAGGGGAGTTGAACTCCAGGCCTTGAGGGCCGGTGTCCTGCAGGTTTTAGATCTCAGCCTGGGTCAACACACCTGAATCCAATGATTAGTTCATTACCAGGCCTCTGGAGAACTACGTTGGGCCCTATGTACCAGTGTATACATGCAAAGAAAGTTTTTTTTTTTTTTTGCACAAAATTACCACCCATATAAGCTACTTTTCTGTTTCATAACTTTGTATTAATGTGTTTGTTAGATAATTTAACTCAGTAGTGGTTATGGAAGGTCTGTGGCAGTTCTATTTGTTTGCACAACACATACAAATTCAGTTGGGGAAATATTGATGTTTTATATGCATATTATATATATAAGTTTTGATTACATAGGTAGAAAGTTTTTTTTAACAGTTAGCTTCTGACCCTGTGGTTTGTGAAGTTAGTATAAGTCAGGGTGACCCATAAACACACTGTTTATCTAGTTCATCACTTGGGTTTGATTGACTTTGATTGGGCACAAGCTTCTGTCGTCACACCTTGTTTTGTTTTGTTTAGTAAATTCGCACACATGTTTCTATCGGGCAGCATGGAGTTGCGGTGTTGCCGCTGTCACCATTCACCGAGAAGCTCATGGGCTCAAATCAGGTTCAAGCCTTTCTGTGTGGAGTCTGCCTCATCTGCCTCCGTCTGTGTGGTACTTGGGTCTACCTTCAGCTCAGAAACATACATGAAGTTAGATTAATTGGTCATTATAATTTGGCTGTACATGTGAATGGTTGTCCTGCCCACGGCGTTCCCTGCCTTTTGCCCCATGACAGCTGGGTTAAGCTCATGTGACTCTGAATTGGATGAGATAATGGATGTATGTTTCCACTAGTGGTTAAATACAATAAAAAACAATTGCCAACAAAATAGGTCATGACAGGTTTGAGAAAATATTCTAAATCCATGGATTGATTTCATTATTATTCATTTAATACAGAAACTCACTCAGTGCATGGACGCTCTACTTCGGGAGAGAGACTCAGGCTGGGCCTAACACTCATGAGGTGAAACAGAGTGTGTCGCAGGTCATTGTCCACCCTAACTACAACAATTCTTACTTGAACAACGACATTGCCCTGATGAAGCTCAGCAGCCCTGTCAACTTCACTGACTACATCAGACCTATCTGCCTGGCAAGTAGCTCCAGTCAGTTCTACAACTCCACATCCTGCTGGTCCACTGGCTGGGGGAAACTCAGCAAGAATGGTGAGATTTTTATTCAATCTGTGTAGCTGGTGGAGGTGGAAGCATCATATCAGGTTTTTTCTAGTCTCGCTTTGCCACTTAAATTTGTATTTGCATGTCAACTGTCAGGGGCTGGGTCTGTGACCCAGTGTGTTTCTTATTGTCAAGCTTGTTTTGTCATGTCTCTCAGTGTTTCCTGTTTTATTTTGAAAAGCCAGGATTTTCCATGTTCAATGTGTTTTGTTCGACTTCCCCCGTGGTGTCATTATGTCTATTACAGTCAGTTGTTTCTCCATGTGTTTCCACTTCCCCTGAAGTGGCCCCCAAAGTGTCCCGCATGCCCAAAAGAAGACGTCACACACAACACGCTCTTTGTTACTTCCTTTAAAAGTTGTTGCTATTAAAGTTTTTCACCCTGCAAGGTGTGCAGTTCACATATTCGCATAACTACTACTACTACTTTTGAATTCGTGAGACTGGACTCATTTCATGCTTTGCCTTTCACAGACACTTTGCCAGCTAATGCACCCCTCCAAGAAGTTCAGATTCCTGTTATTGGAAACAAACAGTGCAGCTGCAATTATATCCAAGTAAAAGATGCGAACATCACTCAGCAAATGATTTGTGCGGGGCAACAAAACAAAGGAGCATGCCAGGTTAAAACAAAAGCAAATTGTTGTAATATGTATTCTCCCTTACAGAAAAACAAGTTTATTTATTTATTTATTTTTTTTGCAATTTCAGCCCTATAATGTAAATATAGACTTTTTTAGTTTTGAGAATATGCTGTTTCAGTCCCCTTCTTAATGTTTGTGTTTTATCCTACTCTTTTCAGGGGGACTCAGGTGGACCCTTGCAGTGCAAACAGGGTTCCAAGTGGATCCAGGCTGGTATTGCCAGTTTTGGAATACCTTGTGCCCAGGCAGGTTTCCCTGAGGTCTACGCTCGAGTGTCTGAATTCCAGACTTGGATCACAAATAAAGTAGCGGGGGCGAATGTGGGCTTTGTGAGCTTTACTTCTAGTGGCACCAACACAGACAGCAGCTTTGTGTGTCGCAGCAACAACTCAACTGGCAGCCCTAACTCTGGAAATTCAGCCAAGTTTGCGCCTGAGCTTGGATTTTTTATCTTCTTAGTGAAAATGTTGCTGGACCGCATTTTAGTTTAACACTAAAAATATCTCCTCTTCTGCTCTTCTTGTCTTTAACGGTGTCTTTAAAGGTACAGTTTTAATAACTGAATGAATGAGGTTCATGATAATGCATGAATTTGTTAGATGTAATGGCACACTAATCAATGTATATTTAGTACAACAAAGTGTTTTTCTATTATATAATCTTAAAAAATACTTAGTAAATTGTTAATTGTTTTTTAAAGTATTTTGATTTTAAAAAACATTAGAGTCAAGTTTGACATAACTGCACTGTAGCTCGGGTGGATCAGCTTTTCTTTTCTTTTCTTTCACTACACTCACTACATCAATATTTTTTCTTTTGTTAATCACTTTATAAATCAATTTGTGTTTTCAGCTAAACTAGTGTACCTTGGATATGGAAACAAGCTAAAATTAAAGGTTCTAATTCTGATTTGCTGGTGTTACTGAACATTATGTACAAGACTGGAAGAGATATGCAGAAGATATATGAATATATAAATATGCTCAGTTGTGTATGTTTGGACGTAACGTACAACATCTACTAGATTTTTGGTTTTGGCTTTTTTTTCTTCCTGTTATAGATTTTTAATTTCAGAGGCTGCTCATGTCATTTTAAACCTTCCCAGAACTCTGAAATATGAGTTTTATTTTAGTGATCTGAGTATTTGAGGAGACAGGGAAATTGTGGGTGGGAACATTTGGGGAAGCAATTTTTAAGAGAGGTTCTGCATTGATACACTGATGGATGTGGTCACGATGACTTCTGTCTCGGGCTTGTGAGCTGTCACCAGTTATGCTCTTTGAAACCGTACTTTATGGTCAAAGGCTTGATCTGAAACTGCAACTGATGCTTTTGTCCAAGAGAACGGCTGACACCTTTAAATTTGACATGTAGCTCTTCCTCTTATGCGATGCTCCCATCTAATCAGAGAAAATGGAAATTATATATTAAAAAAAACAATATTTTAAACTCGGGCTTCTTAAATAAAACTGGATGTATCAAGGATCGTTAAAGTGGCTTTTCTCCTGTTATGTTTGATGTATGTCCTGTTACATTATTAGCTACTCATCAGATACTCATAGCGCCAAATCTCAACAACAATTGTCTCGTGGCACTTTATGTTGTAAGGTAAAGACCCTGCAATACTACAAAGAAAACATAGTAAACCCCAACAATCATACTGACTCCCTATGAGCCAGCGCTTTGGCGACAGTGGGAATAAAAAAACTTCCTTTTAACAGGAATAAACCTCCAGGAGAACCAGGCTGAGGAAGGGGTGACGGGTAGGGAGATGAGAGGAGGACAGGACAAAGACATGCTGTGGAAGAGAGCCAGAGTTTAATAATAACTTATAATTAAATTTAGAGAGGTGTATAAAACATAGTGATTGAAAAAGGTGACTGAAGAAGAAACACTCATGGGAATCCCGCAGCAGTCTACACCTGTTGCAGCATAACTAAGGGAGGATTCAGGATCACCTTATCCAACCATAAGTATGTGCTTTTATCAAAAAGGAATGTTTTAAGCCTAATCTTAAAAGCAGAGAGGGGGTCTGAAGGCTCTGCCTCCCATTCTACTTTTAAAGGTCTTGAAGATAAGATGTGAGGAGCAGGATTTTAAATTCAATTCAGGATTTAACAGGGAGCCAATGAAGGGAAGCCAGTATAGCAGAAAGATGATGTCTCTTTGTAGTCCCTGTCAGTACTCGTGCTGGAACATTTTGGATCAACAACTCCAAGATGTTTGTAACCTGCACTAAAGATGCTTCTTTACTGTGACGAGCTCTGAATCCTGACTGAAAATCTTCAAATAAACCATTGCTCTGCAGATGATCAGTTGTTTTAAAATTACTCAAGGATTTCTAATACAAAAGTACATAGCCAGATAATACAGACAATTTGATCATGTTTAAAATTCAAACATTAATTAATGATAGGACTTATTTGAGCAGCTGCTCTATGACAACCCCCGTTAATGTTTAAATAGCTGGGACTCTCCACCATTTGGTTTCAGAACTGAAAAAGATTCTTAGGTGAGAGGTGAAACCTCTTCATGGACCCAAAGGAGTCTATCAAAGTCTATCAAAAGCTTCTATCAAAGCTCCTTGGACTATCATGACCTGGATTAGTGAAAACCTACAAAGACAAACTCCTATTCAAACCTTTTATATATGAGGGGCAGCCAGTCAGAAGACAGCTGAGGATTAAATTGGGCCTCCATAAAGCCCCAGTATAAAATGTATTATTTTATTTATTTATTATTTAGGATTTATTCCATCTCTTGCAGTTGAAGTTGGTTATTATGTACTTTTTCAAAGTACTACTGAATTCCCTTGACTATAAGGGAAAGGTTTCCGCGTTGACTGTTTTTCTTAATGCTTCTACTTTTTATGTGCAAACAGTTCAACTTGTAACAAAGAATCAATCCTCTGGGGATCCGAAACAGTAAGAACAGAGGTTTTAGAATAACAGTAACAAGGACATATTTTACTTCTGTTTGGTAATTTGCTACCTTACAGTCCCATCAGCAAACTGCATTTGCTAATAAAAATAAAGCTAGATCAGTAAACCGCGTAAGGCTACTTCTGCTTGAAGTGCAATTATTATGGCAACTGACAGTGTTAGTTTCATGGGAACTTAAATGTTGAGCAGTGAGAAGTAAAACACAAAGTAAAACCAGAAAAAGGAAGGAAAGCATCACGCTACGGTAAATACTTTATTCCATGGTAACAGTATAAATCATATACTGAACTTACTGGAAGCAGACCAAGGAAAATAGTACAAGTTGTGTAAAAACAGTGTGGGAATCTTCACCTGAAAAAAGGTGTTTAAAAATAAAAGCTAAGGGAATGGAGGAAGAACGTGTTTTAGTCTTCTAGTTGCAGCAACCACTCAAAGCTTTTTTCCTTCTTTCTCTTTTGCTTTCTACTGAGATGTTAAAGTGCTGCTGTTTCTGTTGTAGCGTTTAATAGTAGAGTGTGAATTTCATAGGTGGTGCCTTAAGGGACGTGTCCTTTTCCGTGATGATGTAATAATGGAGGGGTAGGGGTGGTAAAAGGGTGGTTATGCTTAATAAGCATGATTAGCCACATACAGTGACTCTCCACCAGCAGCGCTGGCTCCAGAGGAAACATATTTGCCCACACTGGCCTGGCTGTTAGCCTGTAAGATAGAAAATATGATATTATTTAATGCACAAGAGGACTCTAGAGCATAAGTTTAATGTTAATAATAATAATACAACTCTTTCATATAGCTTTATATTTTAGTTACACAGTTCATATTCAGACATACCAGAGCTCTCTTTACAAACTCTTCTTGGCATGCCTTTCCGTTCTCCTTCTTCCCACCCCAGGCTTTCAGGGCAGAGGCCTGCAGTGCACGGCCATATGAGAAGGTGAGGGCCCAGGCCTTGTGCAGGGGGCACTGGTTCATAGCGTTCAGGTTGACAGAGGCCTCCTCCTCACTCTGACCACCAGACAGGAAGGTAATACCTGCAAAGCAGGTAGAGTTTAGCAACCCAGATTGCAAATCTAATGCAGATTAGTCATAAAAGATTATGTCTAAAAAAGTGTAAAAGTGTGCATATCAGCAAGCGTGTGATGTACTTTCTTACCAGGAACTGCAGGGGGAACGGTGCGGCGCAGGGCAGTAACAGTTGCCATGGCAATCTCCTGGTTGGTGTACTTGTGCGAGCAAGAGTGTCCAGCGGTAACCATGTTGGGTTTGAGCAGGGTACCCTCCAGGTAGACGTGGTGGTCGGACAGGGCCTTGTAGACGGCAGCCAGGACCTTCTCAGTGACGTACTGACAACGCTTCAGGTCATGGTCACCATCAGGAAGAATCTCAGGCTCAACAATGGGGACAATACCGTGCTAGGAAAGGCAAGGACACAAAGACAGGGTAAAATAGGAGCTCACATTAACCCTGGAGAACCCATGGGGTCAGAGCTGACCCCATTGGTCTTCTAGGGAAACCATGGGGTCAAATTTGACCCCATGGATTCTCCAGGGTTAAGAAGGCAAGACCTGAAATCCAAAAGTGAAGACTTTAAAAATGTAATGTTATGCTGCCTTGATAATACTATGACATAGTATTAATTTGGAGAAAAGTTTTTTGAGCTTGTTGACACATTATGAGGTTTCCTCATTGTGTGTTTCTACCCATGCAGGAAGTATGTGTGTGACATAATCATATCAAATGTACAAGCAAAAACAGCAAAAATATTTTAATTGTTTTTTTTTTTCTTTTTTTGTTAATTAGACCCAATAATAGATCTTGTAAAATTCAGTTAAACTGGGTTATCTGTCTGTTGTGTCTTACCATCTGGCAGATGCTGGCATAGCGAGCCAGGACATTGGCATTCTCTATGATAGCCAGTCTTGAGGGCGTGGTCGGGGTGATCTTCAGAACACAACGCCACTTGGCGAAGTCAGCACCATCCTTCTTGTACTGGGCGCAACGCTCATAAAGCCCATCGAGACCTGTTAGGAAGGAAAAACATACACGATACGTTTGATAAAGATATTAAAAGATGATTATGTAATACTGATGATGTCTGAAACTTTTCTGTGCTCACCCTGGGTGGTTGTCTCGCCATTGGTTCCTGCCAGGGGGACAACACCTTTGTCGACCTTGATACCTACCACCATGCCTCTTTCTTTGAGGTATTGAGTGAAAGGCTTGCCATCGTCGGTCTTCTGGTACATGGTCTCGTGGAAGAGGATAACGCCACCAATACAGGGATTGATGCGGTCGTCAGCAGTGAAGAGGAGCTGGCGGTACAGCCTCCTGTTCTCCTCAGTGTTCTCAGCATTGATGCTCTGGAAGCGCTTGGCCACACTGCCTGGAGGTTATAGAAACAGATAAAATCAGACTGACTATAAAAACATAGTATATTATTAGGTGTTGGAAGCCACAGTCTGTCTGCACGTTTGCAGAAATGTTTCAGTTCAGGTCTGAGAAAACACACACAGTGAAACCAGCTTCAACTGTAGCCTAACTGCAATCCTTTAAGCCATAGTTTTTGGCAACTGTTGAGTTGACTGTCCCAAAGAACCGATTGTTAGTATATAATATAGGTTCATTTTCTTACCAGTTGACTCATCTGCAGCAAGGATTCCTTTGCCTGGAGCCACAATCTTCAGAGCAATATCATTGAGCTCCTTCTTTTGCTCAGGAGTGAGGAAAGGGTATGCGTGAGGCATCCTGACTCTTGATATAAATAGAGGGAAGACAAAAATTTGAGAAATTAATAATGAACATGACACAGGGGTTATACATTTTTACAGTGCGCCAAGGCGAAAGGTTATACTGCACTGCAAATCTGCTTTTGAGTGTAACAGTTTCAGGGTATATGTGTGGGAAACTGCTTGATGAAAGGAGAACAGAACATCGGGTTCATTGTGTGAAGGAAGTGGTAAAAAAAACAAAAAACGTCTGGCTCATGGTTTTATGTTTTCCTGTCAGACTATCTTTTGCTAAAACAACCCAGACCAGCTTGTGTCCTACATGCGACAGCAGCTGTTTAAGCTTTAACTGCTGCAGCAGCTTGTGCACTGGTTTCACACTATTCCCCAGGCACAATATGTAGCCTCACAGAGGATCCAGTGTCAGAGAAATCCCACAGATCCCCCTCCACCACCACCACATGCCCCACCCTCCATGCATCTGACCACCCTTAAAAAATTGTGTGCACGTCCGTGACCTATTCCATTTTCTAGCCTCTTATCCCTGACCTTTCCATTCCCCTCCACAGCCCCCCTTCCCTCACCATTCCTCTTGACTGGCCTCTATCGCATACCTCCTCCAACTGTCACCCTGTTGCCACTATCAATACGTTAGACTAAATATACCCAGTGTACCCAGTATACTACTTGCATGAGGCAGTGAGTGCACTGTAGCTCATGTAGCATTAATGGGCTGCATAAAAGAAAATGTGCAGGGTTCCACCCCGCTGTTGATGAGGCATGCCAGATTGCAGAAGGCAGTCTAGATGAATTTATCTAGTAAAGCAAGAAATTAGTCAGACTATTGAGTCACCACTGACCAACGATTCAATGGAAACTTTGCATCAGATAAAGGTAGGTGACTGAAGTTTACCAAAAATGATCAGCTTTGTTTAATATCAAGGGAGAATCATTCTCACAGTGCATCACAATCATTATTTAGTGTTGTTATACTATAGAAAGTGATGAGATATTTTCATCGGTCTAGCATCTGGTTCATTGAGGTTGAAGTACCAAAAAAAAAAGACGCACACTTGCATTTAACCAACAGACATGAACCTGCGGGTTACACTGATATAGTTCGAGCTAGTCATGTTAACCACACAGTTGTGAAAGCTACAAGAAGATGCATAACACTGTTTTTATTTTATCTCTGGTATACAGGTCATAAGCCTCTCATTATGCCAAGGCTTTATAACATAACATTCAATAGCTAACCAACAAATCCACTTCAAATGCTGTTTTCTTTATGGGCATGAATTCAATCTTTTACCTTTGAGGTTGCGAGGAGAGCTGAGAGAAGAGAGAAGAAGGGAGAAGATCCGGCCTTCGTCTGCGACACCCCTGCAAGCCTGCTGGACCTTGTATTTATCCTCCCATTGTGACCCCTCACATTTCAGCTGCCCAACTATAAAAAGAACAGGATGCAACCAGAGATGGCTTGTGACATTCAGCAGGACTGGGGCTGGAGTAACGTGCTAGCAAGCAGCCACTCAAAGGGCAAAGAGTGTTTCAGTGAACGGCACAAAATGCGATGGAATAACAGGCAGTTAGGGTTTAGGTGAAGTCCAGATAGAAGGGGTTGAGTAGACGATATTATCCAGAAATGTGCAGGGAAGAATGGCCTACAATGTAAGTGTTTCTTACACTCTCCTTAAACGAAATTATGCATCTTCCAAGCACACCCTTTACATTCTGTCTTATATTAAACATTTTATTTAGCTGCAGTTATTTTAAAATGTGCTGCCTCACCAAAGAAGAACATCTAATATCCAGAGGTCATTTGAAATAGTATGTGAAGGAAGATAAATTTGGGGGTATATGTAGAATGCACTAAATGTGTGTGTCTGCGTGCACACAGACACACAGAGAAACAGAGTGAGAGTGAGAGAGGGTTGAACATGTTGCAACATTGCCAACCTGCCCTTAGAAATCCAAACCAGACGCAGCAACACAGCACACTGATCCTTGACCTTTTCTCGACCTTTCTTGATCGTCTGTGCTCTGCAGGAAGAGGTCAACCGCCAAGCTAGGGAAAGGTTGCAGGTTCATATTTTCGGGGCACATTGCACTTTGCATCTGTTTCTGTGTCACTCAGCTCATGGGAAAGCACAAAACAGACACATGAAAAGACATAAAATTTTGCAACTCGGATGTTCTCACAGTTTCAGACTTTGGGTTTTGTAGCGCACACGACACTTTTTTTAGTGGCACGCACTTATCGTAAAAGAGGCCAACTTCCTGACAGGAGGGCTTGCGGGCTGAACAATGCAACAGGAATAGATGTGTTAAGTAGAAATCTGAAGAAGCAAATTCAACTTGCTAGTCAACTACAGGGAAAGTAATAGTCATAATGTTAGATGCTCAACATTCCCTTTTCTTATTTACAATTTAACGTGATAAACAAAAAGAATTTTATTGAACTGACCTCAAATTTTCAGCAAAAAATTTATCTTAGACCTGCTAATGAGGCAGATGGTTTTATTTAAATGTTAACATTTTAATTATATTTAAAATAATTTCATCTGGTTGTCCACATGTCAGTAAACTATCCAGTCGGTTTACTGTTATACTATTGTTTAAGAAAATTAGAGCTTAAACTAAATTAAAAGTTGGCCACCCACCACCACAGTCTGTCTTATTTAACACAGCGCTGCCGCTATTGAAACTCCTCCTTCATTGAGTTCCTCCACAGATGCCTCAGCTTTGATCAGTCACCTGATTATTTCTGCTTTTTGGCTCCTTCTTGCATGCTTTCAGCAGAAGTGGCACCTTGCTCAGCAGTGAAAATTAAAAATAAAACCAAATATCACAGTTTCAATTATTTCCCATGGGAGTAACACAATGAACTGGATAATTAGTGCTACAATATTCTTGTCAGGTAAGGCAGTTTGTGCCTTTTATCTTTCTATTGTCTAGTTATGCCTTCATTTTAAGTAAAATATTATGGAGCAGTATGTCTGTTGTGCTCATTTCCTTTTTTTTTCTCTGTGAATCAAACTTACTGAGACGTGTGATCAGCCCAGTTTCAGAGTGTAAAAATAGCTTAATGAGTACAATATTTTGATTGCATTTCACCTCTAGCATGCACTGAGTGAAAAAACCCTTTCATAAATAATTTTGCAAAATGTAATTCTTGATTATTAATCCATAATAAATATGTAAATGCTAAATCACAAATAATTCTGTGCTAATGCAATCATCACATATTTGAGGCCTGTTACCAGTGTCACATTGTACTTTTTGATCCTGTGATGAATAATTTAACTAACACTGTGTTGACAAGAATTAAACTTGAGGGCATGGCATTGTAATAAAATGTTTTAATAAATTTACTTTTCAGGGGGTTATGAAACCATTTAATGTTTTTTCTTTATATTCATCACTATTTACATTAGATTCTCACTGAAGGCATCAAAACTATAAATGAGCACATATGGAATCAAAAACATGTTTTATAGTTTAGATTCTTCAAAAATCGCCACCCTTTACTTTGATTACTGCTTTGCACACTCTTGGCATTCTCTTGATGAGCTTCATGAGGTCGTCACCTGAAATGGTTTTCCAACATTCTTGGAGGAGTTCCCAGATATGTTGAGCACTTGTTGGCCCTTTTACCTTCACTCTGCGGTCCATCTCATTCCAAACCATCTCAACTGGGTTTAGGTCAGGTGACAGTGGAGGACAGGCCATCTGGCGCGGCACTCCATCAATCTCTTTCTTGGTCAAATAGCCCTTACAAAGCTGGAGGTGTGTTTGGGGTCATTGTCCTGTTTACAAACAAATGATGGTCCAACTAAATGCAAACTGAATAGGATGGCATGTCGCTACAGAATGCTTTGGTAGCCATGCTGGTTTAGTGTGCCTTAAATTTTGAATGAATCCCCAACAGTGTCACCAGCAAAGCCTCTCCCATACCATCACACCTCCTTCTCCCTGTTTCACGGTGGAAGCCATGCATGTAGAGACCATCCGTTCACACTCACCAAAGACTCAGCAGGTGGAACCAAAGTTCTCAAATTTGGACTCATTAGACCAAAGCACAGCTTACCACTGGTCCAATGTCCAATCATAGTCTTTCTTGGCTCAAAAACATCTCTTCTCCTTGTTTCTTTTCCTTAGTTGTGGTTTCTTAGCAGATATTTGACCATAAAGGCCTGATTCGCACAATCTCCTCTGAACAGTTGATGTAGAGATGTGTCTGCTACTGGAACTCTGTGTGGCATTTATCTAGGCTCGAATCTGAGGTGCTGTTAACTTGCGATGTCTGAGGCTGGTAATTCAAATGACTGTATCCTCTGCAGCACCAGAGACTCTTGGTCTTCCTTTCCTGGGACTGCCCTCATGTGAGCCAGTTTCATCCAGTGCCTGATGTTTTGTGCGACTGCACTTGGGGATACATTCAAAATTTTAGCAATTTTTCGGAATTACTGTCTTCAGTTCTTAAAGTAATGATGGACTGTCAATTCTCTTTACTTAGCTGATTGGTTGCCATAATATGAATTCTAACAGTTGTCAAATACGACTGTCAGCTGTGTATCAACCTGACTCCTGCACAAAACACTGACTGATGGTCCCAATCTCATCAAGAAGGCAAGCATTTCCCCAAATGACACCTGACAAGGCACAGGCGTGAAGTGAAAACCATTTCAGGTGACCACATTATGAAGCTCATTAAGGGAAGGCCAAGGGTTTGCAGCACTGTCAGCAAAGCAAAGGGTGGCTACTTTCAGGAATGTAAAATATAATACATATTTAGAGTTATTTATATGTTTTCTTTGCTATATAATTCCACATATCATGTATATATTTGATGTCTTTAGTATGTCTTTACAATGTTGAAAGTACTAAAAATAAAGAAAAACTATTAAATAAGAAGATGTGTCCAAACTTTTGACTGTATATATGGAATTTAAGACATAAAATTGACTCCAAATTGAAGTCTTGAGTGTGTTTTACAAGACAATAATTGCTCTTAGTTCTTAGAATTTAAAAATATCTAGCTTATGTGCTCTCTAGTTGTAATAAAAGTGAGGCAGACCTCAGTTCAAACTGCTACACTCCAACACAATTAAAGAGAAACACAGACTCTATACAATTTTCTGTATGTGGTATTCAACAGAGGTGCTATAATCACATTAGAGTACCTCTATTACTATATAAAGTTGTTTATAGTAAAACCAATGTTTGTTTTTTTTTGCTTCTTTAATTCTCAGTGTTAAATCCTGCGCTTTCTTTCAATATTGATCCTGGGGCTTGGAAGACCCTGAGTAGCTCTGCTCCTGGTTTTGGGTACAAGGTGATTCAAAGAAAATCAGAGTAAGTCACAAGACACATTGATAAAGTGTGTGTATGTTAGTGTATCACACGTACACACACATACATGTTTGTTAAATGTATGCTTGCAATTGGACTATTTGCTTTTTAAGAATATTGCTATTTATTACTAATTTTCTTCTAACAAACATCATAATAGGTTAGTAATAAATGAACAAACATGCAATATTTCTTAACAGAAAAGATATATAGTGTATTTAACCACAGTTTGCTCTCTAGACTTACATCGTGGTCTGGATTTATCTCCATAGTTTGATCGTCAGTGCCCCACTTGAACAGGAGAATGGGGGAATATATAGCTGCACCACTTCTCCTCCAAAATGTCAAGATATAAAACCAGAAGGTAGGTAACCATTAATTTGTAAATGTCTTAAAACTTCAACAGTAACTATTTTACCTTTGCAAAAATTCTGCTCAGACCCTGGCACAGAAACTTGGTTAAATCAAATCATAGCTATAGTAGATTTCTAAAGTAGATATCTTTGTATTTAATATTGAGCCTTCAAAACTGAGATCAACTTACTTTTTAAATTTTTACAGCTATGAAATGAAGTTATAGTGAACTTGAATTCTGTGTTGCATTCCTTTCTGTTGTAAATGTGCCGTGTAAATGTAAGTGTATTAATTGAGGTGCTTTGTAGTCTTCGGCTTCACTGTTTCTTCCATTATCAAGAAGATTTTTGTGTTTTAACAAATATAGAATTCTTTCAATACAGCTCCAGATTTGACAGCTAATGTGTCCCTTGGTATGTCAATGGAAAGTGATCCCTCTGCAGAAAACACTGTGGTGAGTTGCTAGCTCCAGACCTTATGTTAAGTACTTTTTAAAATCACTGATGATCCAACTCAACTGTCTTATGTATGTAAAATGTCTTGTGTTAAAAATTGCATTGTGAAAAATCACTGAACCTCCCAGTGGTTCTCCACAGAATCAGCTAATTAAAAAAAACAACAACAACACATTTTACATATTAGCTTAATGTTACTGGGTGACTGTGGTCCCATCTGCACCAGAATGCATGCCACATATACTTGGGCAAGATACTAACCCTAAGCTGCACTCTGATGCATCTGTCAGACTATAAATGTATGTAGATGTTAGATAGAAAGCACTTACATAGGAAAAGGATAGAAAAAAATCATTTGTTTGAGTGGGTGTAAATGAGTGAGGTTGTATAAGAAAAGTGCTACATAAGACTGAGACCTTCTACGATTTACTGTTACAGATAATGTTCAGTGTGGTGTAGATAGAGAGGAAAAGCAGGTCTCTCTGAATGTAGAAAGATGACAAAGGAATAGAAGTGAGGTTTGTATTTTGAGTGAGCTCTGTAGCCTAGATTGAGTACCACACCTCCAGAGTTCCCACAGGTGTAGTAACCTGTCACATATTCACACACATGTTCCTGAAAGAGAGCACAATCAGAAATTATTAAAAAAAACAAACAAAAAAAACATTAGCTGATACTGAAGATTTATGTGGGAATTTATTTTTTCAGATCTGATTGATTTTTATATGAAATGAAGGAAACAGGGACAGGAAATAATCAGCCTAATCAGAACTTGTCTTTGTCTGTTTTTAGGTGTGTTGTCCATCCATCCCAAAGCACTGCAAAAGTATCACCATGTACAACGGTGTGTGCTTTCAGATAGACAGTTCTAATTCATTTGGACCACCGATACCATCTTCTCTTGACGGTAATAGTAAACAGAGTTTGTGAAAATGTACCTACAATGAACAATGTATTTGAGAAAAAAAAAAAGATTTTAAATGATGATTCCATTTATTAAGGAAAAAAATGTCAATGAGTGTGTCACGTGGCTGTGGAGAAATTTTGGCCCTGTGGCGGCCCACTAGAGGGCTCCACTCACACCCAAGTAGGGAGGACGGGTTTTGTCGAGTTGTGGCGCGACGTGTTCAGTTCATGTGTTGTGATGAATAAAATCGGAGTGGAAAGTTAGAGCTTCTGTTTTGTCTTTACTATACCTCCACAGCACACTTTTTAAAAAGTGTTTTAATTCAGCCCGCCGGTGGGTTTTAGACTGTGAATGCCCTTTTTAATGTCATGTTAATCTGCGTTAGGTCCAGACTTTGACTAGGCAACTTCAAAACCTTTATTCTCTCAACTTGAGTTCAACTTGCTGGTTATTTTAGATCATTCTCCTGTTGCATAACCCAAATGTGCTTGAGCTTTTGACATGATCATTTTGGATTTTCTGGCCGAGAACATAATTCATAGATCCATCCATTACGCCAAATCAACAGGAAGCAGCAAAATCAGCCCTAGACACACTGCAATCACCATGTTTGATTGTTGGTGTGATGCTTTTTTAATAAAATGCTGTGTTGGTTTTACTCCAGATTTAACTGAAAAAGTTCAGGTTTTGTTTCAGTCTACAGAATATTTCCCCAAAATCTTCAAGATATTTTTTGGCAAATGTGAGATGAGTTTTTGTGCTTTTTTGGTGATTTTTCTCCTCGAACTCTCTATTTGTATGCCATTTTTACCCAGTCTCTTTTCTATTGTTGAATCATGAACTCTGACCTTAACTGGGACAAGTGAGGCCTGCAGTTCTTTAGATGCTGGTCTGGGTATGGCTGTGACCTTCTTGATGAATCGCTGATGTGCTCTTGGAGTAATTTTGGTAGGCTGGCCACTCCTGAGAAGGTTCACCTGTTCTTAGTTGTTCTTAGTTTTTCCATTTGTAGATAGTGGCTCTCACCATGGTTTGCTTGAGTCCAGAAAACTAAGAAATGACTTATAGATGTCAAAGATATATTTCACATCTCTTCTTGAGTTTCTTTAGATCGTGGCATGATGCATTGCTTTTTGAGATCTTTAGCATGCTTCAGTTTGTCATACAGGTTCTACTTAAGTTATTTCTTGATTGAACAGGTCTAGTAGTCTGTACTAATTGTTTTGAGTCATTTTATACAAATATTTTTAACTCATAAGACGTTTGTGTAATAAACTGAGATGTTTTGTCTTGCTTCTAAGTGACAGAGTTGATTCTGTTCATCTGGATGTTTAGAAGGTTGGAAAATCCTGTAGTCACCTGAGACTGAGAAAGACACTTGGATGAGTGATGAAACCCACCGTAAACACTGCATCCACATGAGCACAATCAACCTTCTGGGATTTCAAATAATTTAAGCTTTTCTGTATTTTCTTAAAGAAATAAAAATAAATGTAAACAATAAGACTAAGAATAATTGTGGTTGGAGATCTTATACATTAACTTTGGTAAAACCCTGATAAGCATTTTTGGACCAAACTCATTTAATCCGTTAATCTTCTTGTCTCTCTTGTTAAACTAACATAGACAACAGCGACTGAGCTATGCCACTAAATAGACAAGCATACGTACATTTAGTGATTAACTAGCAAATGCATACAACATAGATTGTCTTTGTGTTATTCATAATGCCTTTACCGACGTGCAAAATTCTTTTGCTTTGCTTTTTATGTGAGTGAAAAAATATAAAAATCACCCCATAAAACTAAATCTAATTTTGAATCCATTTCTTTGACAGACTGTGAAACACAAGTCGACCTTGCCTTTCTTTTGGATGGTTCAGGCAGCGTATCTGATCCTGATTTTCGAACAATGAAGAAGTTTGTGAGAGATCTAATTGTATCATTTCTCTCAAGTGACACACAGGTGAGACACTGTTGTCCCTCTGCTACTTAAATAACAGCAAATCACGACATAGATTACATCTTTGTCTGCATTTAACACCATAAAATATAATCTAAAACATGTTTCACATATTTTTTCTTTCTTTCAGTTTTCTGTTTCCCAGTTCTCCAGTGCCCCAGAGGTTCATTTTAACTTTAAAAAATTTAACTTACCTGAAATGGAGGATGAAATCAATAAAATTCAGCAACATGTGGGAACGACTTTCACGGCTAAGGCCATCAAAGAAGTTGTGTAAGTAATGCAAAGATATTACT